ACAACATATGGAGCTATGCTTTACGGCGGAGATGTCGAAGGTATTCCTATCCGAACAACAACATTGGATACTGGACGTCGACCGCGCTGCCGCGACGCGAGCATATGTGACCGCCGCAGCTGAACGAGCTGCGGTCGTCAAGGAGGACGACCTTCTCACGGAGGCAGATACCCAGGCGAATCCAGTCATGGTGTCGAGGGCGCTATATCCTGAACTCAAGACACGCTTTGACAACCAGTGTTTTAGGATTTAAGACGTATCCGAAGCGCCAGACATCATGTCTTCAACACGCGTATACAAGTGGAAACTCAAGAACGAAACGGGGGAAATGGAACGCGCCATCCGGTTACGCCTGGTACCTCGGGGTTCCATGGATCTCGAAGCCTTCGACGCAGAAGCGCCATCAGGAACTGCGCGGCAGTCGAGCCAGCGATCACTCGCCAGCGCGGCAGCGTGCGGGAAGCAGTGGATCAATGCTTCCCTTGTCATAAACGTGGCTTTTCTGAAAGGGGCTCACATATCAAGAGCTCGCTGAGGCAACCGGTGAAAAGGAGCGCGTAGCGCGCTTTACCCTGCCACCTGGATCAGCATCTGCATCCAGACGCCTCCCAGGATTCGAGCACCACGGCGAGTCGAGACACTGTCCACAACGCCTCATACCAGGCACAAGCATCAAAGATACGCCAAGAGCCTTCTCACTGAAACTCAGGGGGGCCACGAGAGGCCCTGGACCCATGCCCGCGTCTTACGACGATGAGTTTGAGACGAGCACCGACTTCCTCACCGCCAAACATATTTATGTTACAAGCATGGCCAGCACTGAGGACACCATTGTCAAATACGTCAGGCGCGTCGAATATACATTTGGGAAATGTAAACTCAACCAGCATAGATCCACCAACTGCGCTGTGAGGTATGCTAAGGGTGACGACGGCAATGTTACTCTCGACCGATACGAATGTATAAAACAACTCCGCCCCATCCAGCACTGCGAACTCACGGGCGCAGATGCAGTGGCTAAGGCGTCGAACATGGTCCCTGATATGTTTGTCAGCATCAGGGGCGCTTTGGCTTGCGCCTTCATCACGCGAGTATGGTTAATGGTGCATGTTGCATCGCTGCAGCGCGCCGAGGAACCGACCAGTATACAAGCGCGACGATTCAGCGCGATTTGCAGGAAGCTGCAGGCCTGCCCAAAGAAAATTGCTTATGAAGCGATGACACCAACGGGCGAGGTAGACCTGCATAGCGACTCCAGCTATCGTCGCTTAAGCGGCGATGCCGATGGCAAGGTCAATGGCTATGGTATTCGCGGGTTCGGTTGAAACGCTAGAAGCAGCCCATAACTTGGAGGACTGCTATCCCGCGATCGTTACGCTACACGAGCTCCACACAGGACCGCTGGCACCCACTCAGTTCAATAATATTATTGAGATGGGCGGCCTCAGCATTATGGTTACCCTGACCACTGATTCGGAATATGTCTTCACGTCCTTGTCAAGCCTGAAGAATCTGACTGAGTGCACCGTCCTGGGCCACATCAGATGGGCACGGCAGATGATGGAGCGCGGTATCGCGCATACCGCGCAGTGGCGTGACGCTCGGGACATGACCGCAAATTGTCACACCAAGGGGACCAGTGACCGAGATACGCCCCTACAGGTTATGGAAGGAATGCAATGCTTCAAGCAGTATTTGAAGCGACATACTCCGTGCAGGGCCGGCCAGAGAGAACATCTGAGCCGCCCGAGGAGTAATAAGATGCGGGGTAAACCGGCTGAGGTTTGAGCCCGTTGACTGCTGCCTTCCTTTTGTAGTATAATTGTTTTGCCGAATATAGCCGGACGCGGACTCGCGCTTCGTCTCCTCTCCTCCGATTCTGAAGGAGAAGGGTGCAGGCGAGAGTCAGCGAGCGTTTGCCCGTGGCCGTTTGGGCTCAGCGTCCGGCCGCCGATTTGATTGTGTTGTTCTGCGGCGCACGACCAGACATCGATACGGAAAGCAAGCCCTTGAGATGGCATTTTGTCGCTCACGTGGCCGTTTTCTATATTTTGCTCCATCGCTACTACGATACAGCAGGGTTTGCCCGATGCTACGCCTAACGCGTACTGTTTGGTTGGGCCGACCACCTCATTTTAAACTCGACTTTCATCGCCGTCATCATCATCACCATCTTCGTCATCATTACAATTTTCATAGTGGCTCTTTCTTTGGAGACGAAAAGGGGCGCGCGCCGAAATCCATTCCAGACGAAATTGAGGTTTTTCTTAGAGTTTCAGTGTGCAGGCGCGCCCTGCCGCGCGGTGGTTCCCAGACGCACCTTAGAGCGTGCTGACGTATAATGCGAGGCATTCACATTGCACGTTGCGCATGCTATCGCGTGCAAATCACGCATGGCTTGAGCTACTTCGCAGACGCTTTCTGGCGAGGCCCTTCGGGGGCCCTCTCAGGGCCCGCCGGGGTCGCCGAGTGCCGCGAGCTTCCGGCAGCCATTGTCGACAGTTGGCAAAAGCAACGTCGCCGAAATGGTCGCCGAAAGAGCCGTCGAAAAGGCCGCCGAGATTGCCGCCGAAGGAGCCGCCGAAAGTGCCGTCGGAAGGGCCGCCAGAATTGCCGCCGAAATTGCCGCCGAAATTGCCGCCGAAATCGCCGCCGAAATTGCCGCCGAAATTGCCGCCGAAATTGCCGCCGAAATTGCCGCCGAAATTCCAGATGGTTCCGCCGAGAAAAGACCGAATTTGACCTTGGCTGTGACTCTATGCTTGTGTCTGCGGCGTCATCGCGCTTACTGGAACAGCGATTTCGCTTGCGACGGGGCAATCAAAATTTCGGCGGCTGAATTTCGGCGGCGATTTCGGCGGCTGAATTCCGGCGGCTATTTTGGCGGAGTTCGCAATCATTTCGGCGGCAATTTCGGCGGCAATTTCGGCGGCAAGTTCGGCGGCAATTTCGGCGGCAATTTCGGCGGCGATTTCGGCGGCAATTTCGGCGGCAATTTCGGCGGCAATTTCGGCGGCGATTTCGGCGACGATTTCGGCGGCCTTTTCGGCGGCTCTCCTGGCGGCCCTTTCAAGGACCATTTCGGCGGTTTTGCTCTTGACAGCTGTCGACGAATGCTGCTGGGAGCTCGCGGCGCTCAGCTTCGGTAAAGAGTCGATGCGCGGCGACGCAGACTGACCTGACCTCAGCCCGACGATGATTGTAACATTTGTTATCTTGTGGTTTTGGCGTTGATGATGGCGACGGCCGCGGTAATGTTTGGTTCAGCATGGATGCTCGTCAGGGGGCATTACAGGCTGGCCTACGCGCCCAGCACTGCATGCTTTCAAACAAGGAAAAATTGTCGCGCAACTCCTTCGGAATTCGGCGGCTATTTGGGGGGCCGTGGTGGCTCCAAAGGGCTGTCCTCGGTGACAATTTTCATCGTCGTCATCACCGTCACCACCATCACCAGCATACCTACTATCACCATCACCACCACCATTCTCATTACCGCCATCATCATCCTCATCATCATCACCATCATCATCGTTGTCGTCATCACCGTCGTAACATCAACATCATCATCATCAACACCAGCATCATCATCATCATATTCCCCTTTTGATATTCCGGTCCCTTTTTGCATCCCGTTTCAGGTTTTCCTCCCCCTGTTTCTCGCCCGTCCTCCCACCAAATGTCCAACGCCCCCCCAGGGGCGACGCGCGCATCGAGAACTCTTACAGTATATGCGTCGTCGCGGGCGCTTTCTGGCCACGCCGCTCGGGAAACGATGCGTTGCAAGATGGGTATACTACATGTTCGGGTCGGACGCGCGCCTCCAAAGAGGACAGATAGTATTAGCATGTCTCTGTGCGTCGTATCTATCCGTGTTCCTTTTGTCGTTCCTCCCTCCCTCCTTCTTTCCCGTTTCGACAGCTCAGGGGCCGTTGCCCCGCCGGGGGGCTGCCAGAGAACAGCCCAGGATGATAAATTGGCCTTGGCGAGAAACCATCGTTTGGGGCCCATTCTGGCGTCCGTCAGGGCCCGCCCTCACCGTGCCAGTGCCGCAGGACAAGAGCAATGAGGAGGACAAGGAGGAAGAGGAGGAGGAGGAGGAGGAGAAAGAAGAGGGAGAAGACGAGGAAAAGGAGGAGGAGGAGGAGGAGGAGGAGGGGGGGGAGGACCAGCGTAAATGCAAGGCATACTTACGATGTTGTAATAAACCCTTCCCGAAGTTTCGTCTCCATGGGCCCCTACACGAATTCATTTTCACTGCAGGAAGTGTTCAATTGGGAAACAACCGTTCGAGACTCATCAACTGTGCCAGCACATTGATCTTTTGTTTTCAAAACTGCGGATCAACGAGGCCCTCGCGTCTCGACAAACCGTAAATCGTTCAACAGCACAACTCTTGGAACTTCAACACCGCGAATCACCATGATGTTTGCGTCGTGACGATCCTCAGTCGTGCCAGAGCACCGTTCCTGGGATTTCAACCGTACAAATATTTGAATCAGCCGCATACCTTTTAAGAGGAGTGCTCGCGGCGCCGATGCGAAAACAGCACACTAGAAAAGAACCGCCCTCCACCCCTGAAGCTGTTGCGTGCGCGGCGCTGGGGCGAAGGCCACGCTTTGTAAACGACCCGCCCTTCACCCGTGAAACTGTTTCAGTTTTCAAGCTTCAGGATCAATAGTGGCGAGGTCGTCTGGAGCGAAACGCCAGGCCTGCCCGACTGACACTTTTGTGGGTGCGACAGGAGGGAGTTGTTGGTAAGGAATAAGGATGGAGGCGGAGTAGACGCAACAGGAGCAGGAGCAGGAAGAGCGGAGGGAGGACGCCGATGTCGACGACGAGGACGACGGCGAGGATGAGGACGAGGCGGAGGAGGACGAGGCGGAGGAGGAGGAGGAGGAGGAGGAAGCGAGAGAGAGAGAGAGAGGACGACACTGTCGACGACGAGGACGACGGCGAGGATGAGGATGAGGATCGGAGGGGAAGCGGGGTCGGCACTGTAGGGTGCAGCCAGGGCCTCGCTCAACGCAAGACGGCGCGCGCTGCCTCTCGGGGTTTTCCTTGAGGGAGCCCCAGCGGCCGGCACGGCCAAAGCTCGCCCGCGGTCGCCTGGAAAAGGAAGTTTCCCGCGCAGGGGGCGCCGAGCGATGATGAGGTATTCGGAGGGCCCACCCCCCGAAGCCTTCCCGTGGGATCCCCGTCGGACTCCCACTCTGAATCCTGGTGGACATTTCCAGGATCCCCTTTCGACCCCACCCCTCCCCCCGAGCTTTCCCTGATCGGTCATCCTTCCTCTTGCCCTTCTCTCTCTCTCTCTCTCTCTACGTCTTTCTCCCTCTGTTTCTCTGTCACTCTCTCTCTCTCTCTCTGTCTATCGCTCCTCTGTATCTTTCGTCTCTACTTACCCGTATTATCTCTCATGTATATATTTCACGTACTTGTTTATACCACATGTGTCTTTATGCCACTATTATATTTTGTAGTTCGTGTATAGAAATGTACGGATTCGTGTCTGTGTGTATGTATGTACGTATGTCTGAAGTCTTGCATGTGTGTATGCATGTATGTATGTATGCATGCATCTACACATGCATGTATGCATGTGTGTATGCACGTATGTAGATAGTTGTGTGTGCTAATGTATATGGATATGTAATGTATTTGTACATGCATATGTAGATGTATATGTACATGGGTATGTCTATGTAACTGTACATGTATATGAATGCGTATATGTACGTGTATATGTGTCTGTGTATGTGGATGCGCATGTGCATATGCTTGTATGTGTATAGTTTTACGTTTTTGAATGTGTACCTGCATACTGATTGGTGTGTATATGTATATGTGTAAATAGGTAGATACGTATATATGCATTTGCATATGTAGTTCTGTATAGTTATAGGAATTTCTGAACACATGCACACATATATATATATATATTCATCGGCGCTACGAAAGTTTTGACCCGTTTTGTGTTTTCAGCTAAACAACGCCTGAGCATCACACTGGTGATGAACACCACGACGGCCGTGAGCATCACTCCAAAGCCTGAGAGCACCACAGAACTTATGAGCAGCCGAGCGCCGGTTATCACCTTGACGCTAGCACCCCCGTGGCGGGAGCGGCATTTCGAGTTCGAACGGAACAAATGCCGAACTTCATTTTGCAGGAAGTCCTGTGCGGGGGCGCCATTTCGAAATCGAGGCAGAAAGGTTCCGATTTCTATGTTTGAGGAAGTCCTGCGCGGGAGCGCCATTTCGAAATCGAAGCAGAAAGGTTTCGAATTTTATTTTTGCGGAAGTCCTAGGCGGGAGCGCCATTTCGAAATCGAACCCCAGAAATCGTTCGAATTCGTTTTTTCTACAAAGTATCAAGCGGAACCGCCGTTTCGAAATGGCCACACCGTTTGGCATTTAAATTTTTTACAAGCCCTGACCCGAAAACTCGAAAAAGTAGCTTTCGCATAGGACTTCCCCCCCAAAACGAGCTGGACTGGATTTCGAAACCTCGGGCTCGATTTCGAAATGTGGCTTTCGCCTAGGACTTCCCCCCCAAAACGAGCTCGACTGGATTTCGAAACCCGCGGGCTCGATTTCGAAAGGGCGGTGCCGCCCGAGACTGGATCGAAAAATGCTTCAACCGAACATTGTACTGGGGCCCCGCGGCCTAACGGGCCCACTGCCAACGTTGTACTGGGGCCCCGTCGCCTAACGGGAGGCGTTGAATTTTGGCCGAACTTGCGTAGCGGCGAAGTGGAAATTCAAACTTCAAAACTTCATGTCAGTCGTGTAAGATGCCAATGGAATTTCAAAATTCAAAACTGCATGTCAGTCGTGTGAGATGCCCATGTAACTACAAACTTCAAACTTCAAACCTGCATGTCAGTCGTGTGCGATGTCACTTCAGACTTCCAAAAATCATGCCAGTCGTGTAAGATGCCCATGGAAATTCAAATTTCAAAACTTCATGTCAGTCGTGTAAGATGCCCAGTGGAACTTCAAATTTCAAAACTTCATGTCAGTCGTGTAAGATGCCCATGGAACTCCAAACTTCAAAACTTCATGTCAGTCGTGTAATATGCACATGGAACTTCAAACTTTGAAACTTGAGGTCAGCCGTGTAAGATGCCACTTCAAACTTCAAAACTTCATGTCAGTCGTGTAAGATGCCCGTGGAACTTCGAACTTCAACACTTCATGTCAGTCGTGTAGGATGCCCAGTGGAACTTCAAACTTCAAAACTTCATGTCAGTCATGTAAGATGCCCATCAGCGCTACGAAAGTTTTGACCCGTTTTATGTTTTCTGCGAAACAACGCCTGAGCAACACATTGGTGATGAACACCACGACGGCCGCGAGCATCACTCCAAAGCCTGAGAGCACCACAGAACCTATGAGCAGCCGAGCGCCGGTTATCACCTTAATGCTAGCACCCCCGTGGCGGGAGCGACGAGTTCGAATGGAACAAATGCCGAACCTCATTTTGCAGGAAGTCCTGCGCGGGGGCGCGATTTCGAAATCGAGGCAGAAAGGTGTCGATTTCTATGTTTGAGGAAGTCCTGCGCGGGAGCGCCATTTCGAAATCGAAGCAGAAAGGTTTCGAATTTTATGTTTGCGGAAGTCCTAGGCGGGAGCGCCATTTCGAAATCGAACCCGAAAGTTTCGAAATCGTTCGAACTCGTTGTTTTTCTACAAAGTATCAAGCGAAACCGCCGTTTCGAAATGGCCACCCCGTCTGGCCTTTTTTTAATTGTAAAAGCCCTGACCCGAAAACTCGAAAATGTAGTTTTCGCATAGGATTTCCCCCCCAAAACGAGCTCGACTGGATTTCGAAACCTCGGGCTCGATTTCGAAATTTGGCTTTCGCCTAGGACTTCCCCAAAAAAACGAGCTCGACTGGATTTCGAAACCCGCGGGCTCGATTTCGAAAGGGCGGTGCCGCCCGAGACTGGATGGAAAAATGCTTCAACCGAACATTGTACTGGGGCCCCGCGGCCTAACGGGCCCACTGCCAACGTTGTACTGGGGCCCCGTCGCCTAACGGGAGGCGTTGAATTTTGGCCGAACTTTCGTAGCGGCGAAGTGGAACTTCAAACTTCAAAACTTCATGTCAGTCGTGTGAGATGCCCATGGGACTTCAAAATTCAAAACTTCATGTCAGTCGTGTAAGATGCCCATGAAACTTCAAACTTTAAAACTTCAGGTCATTCGTGTAAGATGCCACTTCGAAATTCAAACTACCATGTCAGTCGTGTAAGATGCCCATGGAACTCCGAACTTCAGCACATCATGTCAGTCGCGTAAGATGCCCAGTGGAACTTCAAACTTCAAAACTTCATGTCAGTCGTGTAAGATGCCCATGGAACTTCACACTTCACAAACTTCATGTCAGCCGTGTAATATGCACATGGAACTTCAAACTTTGAAACTTGAGGTCAGCCGTGTAAGATGCCACTTCAAACTTCAAACTATCATGTCCGTCGTGTGAGATGCCCATGGAACTTCGAACTTCAACACTCCATGTCAGTCGCGTAGGATGCCAAGTGGAACTTCAAACTTCAAACCTTCGTGTCAGTCATGTAAGATGCCCATCAGCGCTACGAAAGTTTTGGCCCGTTTTATGTTTTCAGCTAAACAACGCCTGAGCATCACATTGGTGAGGGACACCACGACGGCCGTGAGCATCGCTCCAAAGCCTGAGAGCACCACAGAACCTATGAGCAGCCGAGCGCCGGTCATCACCTTGACGCTAGCACCCCCGTGGCGGGAGCGACATTTCGAGTTCGAACGGAACAAATGCCGAACCTCATTTTGCAGAAAGTCTTGTGCGGGGGCGCCATTTCGAAATCGAGGCAGAAAGGTGTCGATTTCTATGTTTGAGGAAGTCCTGTGCGGGAGCGCCATTTCGAAATCGGAGCAGAAAGGTTTCGAATTTTATTTTTGCGGAAGTCCTAGGCGGGAGCGCCATTTCGAAATCGAAGCAGAAAGTTTCGAAATCGTTAGAACTCGTTGTTTTTTCTAGGAAGTATCAAGCGAAACCGCCGTTTCGAAATGGCCACACCGTCTGGCATTTAGAACTTTCAAAGCCCTGACCCGAAAAGTCGAAAATGCAGCTTTCGCATAAGACTTCCCCCCCAAAACGAGCTGGACTGGATTTCGAAACCTCGGGCTCGATTTCGACATGTGGCTTTCGCCTAGGACTTCCCCCAAAAACGAGCTCGACTGGATTTCGAAACCCGCGGGCTCGATTTCGAAAGGGCGGTGCCGCCCGAGACTGGATCGAAAAATGCTTCAACCGAACATTGTACTGGGGCCCCGCGGCCTAACGGGCCCACTGCCAACGTTGTACTGGGGCCCCGTCGCCTAACGGGAGGCGTTGAATTTTGGCCGAACTTTCGTAGCGGCGAAGTGGAACTTCAAAATTCAAAACTTCATGTCAGTCGTGTAAGATGCCCATGGAACTTCAAAATTCAAAACTTCATGTCAGTCGTGTAAGATGCCCATGTAACTTTAAATTTCAAACCTGCATGTCAGTCGTGTGCGTCGTCACTCCAGACTTCTTCCAAAAATCATGCCAGTCGTGTAAGATGCCCATGGAAATTCAAAATTCAAAACTTCATGTCAGTCGTGCAAGATGCCCATGGAACCTCAAACTTTGAAACTTGAGGTCAGTCGTGCAAGATGCCCATGGAACTTCAAAATTCAAAACTTCATGTCAGTCGTGCAAGATGCCCATGGAACATCAAACTTTGAAACTTGAGGTCAGTCGTGGAATATGCCACTTCAAACTTCAAACTATCATGTCAGTCGTGTAAAATGCCCATGGAACTTCGAACTTCAACATTTCATGTCAGTCGTGTAAGGTGCCCAGTGGAATTTCAAACTTCAAAACTTCATGTCAGTCATATAAGATGCCCATCGGCGCTACCAAAGTTTTGACCCGCTTTATGTTTTCAGCTAAACAACGCCTGAGCATCACATTGGTGATGAACACCACGACGGCCGTGAGCATCACTCCAAAGCCTGAGAGCACCGCAGAACCTATGAGCAGCCGAGCGCCGGTCATCACCTTGACGCTAGCACCCCCGTGGCGGGAGCGACATTTCGAGTTCGAACGGAACAAATGCCGAACCTCATTTTGCAGGAAGTCCTGTGCGGGGGCGCCATTTCGAAATCGAGGCAGAAAG